GACGGGAAATTAAACATCTTATAGTCAATGACTGAATGCGTACATTAAAAACCAAAACGACACCAGCGGGATTCGAACCCGGGCCCCCGCTAACCGTGGACGACGCATCTAACCACTGGGCCACTTGGCTACTTATAGCTTTCCTAAAAAACAATCTGTCTTAATAGGCCAGGCAACGTGAGAGATTACTGGGTCCATTTGCTTTGGCTACATGGACAAAAACAAGTCTACATTGTTGAGGAATTTGTATACCGTATACTGCAGCCAGACGGATCGTTATGTAACAATGAACAATGCAATGGTGTATTTTAAGAGCAGATGGGCAGACTTCATTTCTTCTCTTTCTATCTGGACAGATACACATTCTCACCTCCCTCTACTTCTACTTCGAATTCGAATTTATACCGGTATATATCTTATAAGAAAAAGTCATATATTTTTTTAATCATTATTTTTTTACAGATTGGTTCGCCAACACTGTCTCCATCGTCTTTCCGCAAACTTTCAAAATCTGGCCTGTATTCTGTTCGCTGTTCCCAGTAGTCCTTCATGAGCTGAAGTCAAACGGTTTTTTTTTATTGGGGGGGGGCGGGGTTAGCAAAAAATCTTGTTTAACAATAAAGGCAAGGCAGACAACAGTAGCAAAAGAGAGACGACATTTCGTCGAAAGACGCTGTAAACTCGTTGGGAGAGTAGGTGTACTGACTCTACAATGATAACATCAGTGACATAATTATGTACACGTTTATTGTATACACGAACGTGCATAATGTATCCTGTGTATAAGCAGGCTATTTGTGCAGGATGTGCACGAGAAAGATGCGCATTCCTGCTACCACTGTTTTTTCTTCATCATGTAACCTCTATGATGGTCACCCATATTCGTTTTGAGTCATTAGTTACATCGATGAGCAAATTATGCGCCGTTTATAGTGCATGTGAAAAACTAATTAGGTGTCCTTTAAAGACCATTTCATGGGATTGGGTCACACTGAAATTTGTGACATTGAAAAACGACCTTAGATTTAAAATTGAGGGTGGCATCCACCCACATTTGATTTATTTTCCATGGAAGCCTGGTTTACCAAAATATGCCATGCAATACTGCATAATTATTGGTTATAATAATACCCGTAAATTTTAGAAACGGTGAAGATTTATTTGATACACATGAAGGAATCCTATTGAACAACTTTGGTTGTAACCATTTTAAGGTGATATTAAATTGCAGATACCTTGGGGGAAGAATGCGCGTCTTGTCCTTTCTGAGTAAAAGTCGTCAGCAAATAATTAAAAATTCCACCGTTTCTGAAACATCGGGATTCTAACGCAACAAAAGGGGAATAGAAAGAAAAGCCGAGTACCGTCTTCCCGGTCAGATTAATAACAATTTCGTAAATCCTTGAACTATTTGATTTGATTTGATTTGATTTAATTTGTTGTGATTTGTTTCCATACAGAAGGATATAGCTTAAACAGGGATATGATAATTTGCGAGAAAGTATGCAAAGTAATAATCAACAACAAAAATGAGTCAGCAGACTGAATGATAATGGAATACTTCAAGATACAATATAAATTTATTTGCAAGTTACTGACATAAACAGATAAGCACTACGCTGGTAATTGGCACTAACAGCTACACTAATGCAAAATGTTAATTTCCTTCTAATAGTTAGTTAATTATGTTTGATCACATAGGACGTAAAATTATACGATGTTCACAAGATATACAAGGCTGCATTAAGAAAAATTGCACCTTAAAATAGTCTTCCAAAATTACAAAAATATAATTACTAACCAACTGACATCCGAGATGCATAGATTTGCTGATCGCAACAAGTCGTCCAAAATTCACTAAAAAAGATCAAAAACTTTATTCCCTGGAAGACTGGAATACTTACACCGACAATTATGATGAAAAAAATTATACATCAGTTATCTTATGTACAAATATAATGCTTTTATTTCAAATTATCCATAAACAACTGCAGGAATAAAGGCGAAGAAAATCGGCAATAATTCAATGGTAAATGTTCAAAAACGAATACAAATTGATACTTTTTTCTAAATGAGATTGAGAATGAGCTGCATTATCCAAATCGGAAAGGGCATAACATGCGTGATATACAAAATCAGCACATAATACGTTTAAAGTATTAATAGTTCCGTTTACAACGTAAAAACTACCGTAAAATTACCCAATTAATTTAATCAAACATAATAATTTGAATCAAATGAACAATTTGTATTTAACAAGTCGGATGCATATTTCATTCAAAATAATTGCACAATATCATTCAACTGTTGCTGTTCCAAAATACCGTAGGCATACGGAATAATTGTAATGTAAGGCCAAAAAAAAAAAAATTCGGTCTCTGGTCAGACCAAAGTTCCAGAATTGACGCGGCCTTGCGGCTTTTTTTTTTTTTTTTTAGCTTTTTTTTTTTTTCTTCAAGCTTGGATTGTACAGACAAGGTGGGTACTATTTTGCTTTTTTGGTGTCCTCATGTACATTGGTGTCCTCCATAATTTGCCTTGGTGCTTACGATCATTTGCCTTGGTGCAATTTCCCATTCCTTGGTGCTCTTTGGTAAAAAAAAATTGAGGTGCAGAAATAGAGGGCGCTGTTGGAGCTGCCGCGGAACATTTTGGAAAAAAAAAAAGATCGACGCGCATGCTTAAAATCGACGCGCGCGCTGACCAGAGACCCACTTATTTATTTTTTTGGCCTAAGCCACAACTTGTTGACCTGTTTCAATAATAGAATTACATTTTGGATTAAATGTAAATAGCTTTCAAAATACTTCCTTATCATTTAAAAGATACTGTATACATTGGTAATATTTTATCCCCATATTCAATACATATTTTTGTCATTAAATTTGCATTCTAAAAGTGTTCCCAAGTAATACTGCATCATAAGTCTTCCGTGTTTTTCTCCAAATGTTAAAGAGTATTTCAATCCAAACTAGAAAGCACTCAGAAAGTGCAACCTCTGCCAAGGCTAAACAATTCCCTGCCATATTTAGGCCATCAGCCTGGGGGTTTGGTCAGTATCAAATCAGGGCATAAATGATTATAGTGCGCATGCGCAAGGTTTACCGCCCCTAGAGTGGTAACAAGCATTTAATGGACATTTTGAAAAAAAGGGTGATAACACCCAAAAAGCTGCCACCGCTGCAATGCTATTACATATTTTCCGATTCTGGAGGTGTCTGCCTTGCCGAAAATCACTATGACGATTATTCCCCTCATTTGATACCAGTGGCCAAAATTTTGGACCGAGGCTGATGGCCTAATTGTTAGTACGTCCAACAGGAGCATTTTAAAAGGAGCTTTTAAAATATTCAATCATGTTCTGAAATCAAAGGACAGAAACACTCTGCATTAATATGTAGTGTTCACTTGTTGAATACGGAATTATCAAATGCATATGTGGGGAGGACTGCCCCAGTTTCATGGTCTATGGCATATTTGTTCATACAAAAAGATGAAAAATCCTTAAAATAAATCCTGCATCTGATCACGTCCAAATCTAATGGGTCCTTACTTGTACCAAGGGCCACCCCCAAAACAAATTTCATGAAAATCCGTCCATAAAAAACTTTTTGAGTTATCCTGTTAACAGACAAATCAATGCCGGTGAAAACGTAACCTTCTCGGCGGAGGTACTAAGCTGCTTAGAATGAGCAAGAATGTCCTACGCAATGCTGTCTTCACTTGGAATGAAAAGCTCCTGAATTTGACAAAATCAATTTAGTGGAACTTGTCCCCCTGTGCTCCACTTGCTACAGAATCATCACCACGTTATTGGACTGATCAGAGTGCCTCATAATGTACACTGATGTAACAACTGCATTTGGGAATAACACAAAACTGTGTGTTTAACAAACTTCCCTGTGTATGATCACAGCCTTGTCGAGATCTTGCCCAGAATTACACATGTAGTGTACTAATCCAGTCATCCAGTTTTTAACCAAGGGACATGCTATTGAAATTGACTGTGACAAAGACATTTCTTGTTCATTCCCCGTTCATCCCGGTTCTTGTGAACTTCCTTAGAATGAAATCATTATTTGAATTGTGATGGAACAGTAATATGATGGCAAGTGATAGACTTATCAGTGATTTGACTTGTGATAGGCTAGTTAAATGGCTGATGGAGTTGTGATTTTTCTGGTGAAGGAGTTGTGTTTTGACTAGGGACGGAGTTGTGTTTTGACTAGGGACGGAGTTGTGTTTTGACTAATGATGGAGTTATTCAATTAGTGATAGTCTAGTGACTAGACTAGTGATGGACTTGTGATTTGACTAGTGATAGCCTTGTGATATAGCTGGTGATGGACTTCTGATTTGACTTGTGATGGACTAGTGACATGTCTTGTGATGGACTCATGATTTGACTAGATATGTCCTTGTGATAGGACTGATGGAGTTGTGATTTTTCTGGTGATGGAGTTGTGTATTGACTAGTGATGGAGTTGTGTATTGACTAGTGATGGAGTTGTGTTTCGACTAGTGATAAAGTTGTGTTTCGACTAGTGACGGAGTTGTTTTTGACTAGTAATGGAGTTGTTAATCAATAAGTGATAGTCTAGTGACTAGACTAGTGATGGACTTGTGATTTGACTAGTGATAGCCTTGTGATATAGCTAGTCATGGACTTCTGATTTGACTTGTGATGGACTCGTGACATGGCTAGTGATAGACTTATGATTTGACTAGTCATGTCCTTGTGATTTAACTAGTGATAGTCTTGCGATATAGCTAGGATGGACTTGTGATTTGACTAGTGAAGGTCTTGCGATTTGACTGGCGATGGACTTGTGATTTGACTAGTGATGGACTTGTGATTTGACTAGTGATGGACTTGTGATTTGACAAGTGATTGCCTTGTGATTTAACTATGATGGACCTGTGATTTGTCTAGTGACTGACGTGTGATTTGACTTGTTATGGATTCAACTCCTACTCTCATTAGCATCATCATCACTTTTCACACTTCGTGCAAGCATGACTTCCGTTCTTTCTACTCTTCACCAATAACGCTGAGGAGTTGCTCGATCTTCTTGACGTGGACATCATCGAAGGACAGGCCATCAACGTGTAGCACGTCTGTTCCTGTCATATCAAAGAACTCGTGGCTGATCAGGATCTGCAACATCTGCCTCTCCTGTGCATTTGCATGATTTAAAAGGAATAGACATAATCCATGTTAAACAATGCCATAGTTTTAGTGGTACTTTCCTCCCCTCCCAGTTTTACATCCTACCAAAGTGGATTGGGATTTTCCATCCCGATCTGATCATATTGATTTTCCTCTGAATATTTGTTTTCTCTCTTTTTGTCCTCCCATATTCCTTCCAAGTCATCTGTGTACTTCAGGCATGTAATCAACACTGAGGGAGAGCTTTTAAGGAAAGCTGGATTTATTACCACAAATAAATATTGCTAATTATTATTTATATCAGGCTTCCAGTGGTAAAAATAAATCAGCGTACTGCATGCTTTCAAAGAAAAGTACCCGGATGACTGCAATAACATTATTATTGGACTATTTATTGCAGTCATCCGGGCATTTTCCCTGGTTCCCGCATGATCAAGAGCATAGAAAGTCACAGCTGTCAACCACTCAACAGAGCGTAGCGCGCGCGTACCGTGTTGAACATGGAGGATGCTGCGCACCTGCAGCGCGCAAAAGGCCAGGTATATGCGCACTGTTGTCAACAATTACACTGGCAGCTTCAAATAGTTTGACAAAAAAAGATGAAATGAAGACAGTGTCTTGAATTGTATTTCTTGCAGATCAAGTGAGTCTGATATAAATAATAATGATACTATTTGATGGCTTTTTTTCGGTGGATACAAGAATATATTGCACTTGCTATGACAATATTGCACGAGTCGAATATTGGTATAGCGAGTGCAATATATTCTTGTATCCACCTCAAAGCCATCCAATATTATATAATTATCATGGTAAGATATTTAATTCAAAGGTAAGTGACACATACCCTATCAACATCTGGGAGAGCACTTCTGAACCTCTGTCGCTCCTCGTCACTTGGGGGAAACCCAACAGCCCTTCTCCTGTACCTCTCATGGATAGGGCAAGTACTGACCAGGTACAGGCCCACAGCCACAGCATAGCCACCCCAGTTGGACACCCCAGCGGTCATGAGGAAGTCGGAGGCCACGGAGCAGGCAATGGTTTGGCCTCGAGGGATGTCGCGATGGACAATATCTCTGACTTTACCCATGCCGAGCTCGTTTCCGCCGTCCCCAATACCTGAGGATGAAAATAAGAATGAACTGTCAACTTACATGTTACACATTAGGGGAATATACTCTTGCTTATAATGTTAACAGTTGGCCCAATATTGCCTGAACTGACCTTGCCAATTTGACATGCCCTTAATTCTTGTTTCTATAGACTCTTGATTTTTTAATGAGAGGGGGGGGGGGGGGTTAAGAGCATTTAGAGCACTACATGAAGACTGCACACTCAGTAACATTTAATAATCACTCCTTACCAGAGTCATGACCTAACAGAGTTGACGTCAAGTCACACGGCAAATTGCCAGTCAATCACGCATCAATCACCAGTCAAATCACCAGTTCAATCACTAGTTCAATCAGAAGTCAGATCACAAGTCAAATCACAAGTCAAATCACAAGTTCAATCACTAGTTCAATCACAAGTCAAATCACTGGTCCAATCATAAGTCAAATCACCAGTCAAATCATAAGTCACATCACTGGTTCAGTCATAAGTCAAATCCCTAGTCAAATCACAATAGTCAGGTTACAGGCAGCAGAGGATGCAGGATGACAAAGATGCCTGCATTAGAAATCATCTGAAGAGATTCCTCACTTAATTTACAACTAGATGACAAAGGATACTTGTAACGATTTATAAGTGTTGGGATTACTTGTAATTGACTAGGACGTACGAGTGATGAGTTTAGAGTTTTCTCCCCATATTCAATTCAGCATTCATCAATGCAGTCTATGTAAAATGTACTGGCAGCCTTACAAAACAGTCACAGTCAGGGGTGTGAGTGACCACTGATAAAAATAGCTGAAAACAGCTCAAAAAGGTGTAAAAAAAGATGAACTTTGGAAATCTCCTGTACTTTTGTACACAGCAAGTGAGGGAAAACAGCTGAAATCATATTTAAAGCTGAGATTTCACACCCCTGTACAGTGTACAGAGATTTAACTCTTTCGCTACGGCGAGCCGCTGACAGCGGCACACAAAAATTGTACATGTCGTACGGCAAGCCGCTGGCAGCGGCTCAGTGACGTCACTGTGAATAAACAGGGTATCCCCATGACGTGTGCCTTATCTACATAATTTATATCGTATAACCTCTGACCCTAGTTTGAGCCGCTGCCAGCGGCTCTCCGTCTAGCCGGGGTCTGCTGCACGTTATTGTGAGCAGTTTGTTTACGAAGGTACACGGAGTCCACATCGACGCACGGCGGAATTTCCAGCCATTTATTACGGCCAAACGGGACAAAATTAAATTCCGTAGCGAAAGAGTTAAACAGCCCTTACGTGGGTAAAAGTGTCAAAGGAAGTGCACTACCTGATGTATGAACGGTGGGCATCTCAGCAGCTGCCTGGAACAGCCAATCAATGCCACCGACAAGACGTCCTACATCAATGGCCTTCATGGTGTAGTAGCCCCCGTCCTCTGCCTTCCCTGCCCTCTCAATTGCCAGAAGGTGATCGTAGCGTGGGGCGGTGGTGCCAGCCTTCAGGAGGAACTTCTTGGCCGTCTCCAGGGTGTCCTGTTCCCCTTCTGGTGGAAACTGAACCACGGATATGGGGCGTGCCAACACCTCTGCAGAGAGGGAAAACATCAACACCAATTCCCCTTAAAAAGAGTGCGGAAGCCATAACCTTTTGACCCCAAATTCAAATTTCAAGCTGCCATCATGCCCTGGAAATAAATCTGTCAAAAAAGTCAACTTATAGTTTCAATTTAAACAAAAATCACTCAGCAAACTATGGGTTTTTTTACAATTTTTGACTCCATGGTTTCCTTGAACTTTGAATTTTGTCCCAAATCCAATACTGACCTTTCTTTCAAGAGCAATCCTTCATACCAGAACACTCAAGCTAACATACCCAGTACAGAAAGCATTTTCTACATCTCCCTACAGTACCCAAAAACGGCATGCTAACTTCCCTTTCTGCAATGGCAGGCTTTTACCAAAGCTTCAAGATGTCCGGTAGTTCATACTCTACCATTAATGATTATTATTTATATCAGGCTTCCAGCGGTAAAAATAAATCAGCATATTGTAGGCTTTCATAAAAAGTTGACTGCAATAACATTGTTATTGCAGTCAATCCGGGCATTTTCGCAGGTTCCAGCTTGATCAAGAGCATAGAAAGTCACAGTTGTCAACCACTCAACAGAGCGTAGCGCGCGCGTACCGTCGAACACTGAACATGCTGCGCGCATGCAGCTCACAGAAGGCCAGGTATACGCGCACTGTTGTTAACAATTACAGTGGCAGCTTCAAAACGTTTGATGTAAACGAAAAAGATGTAATGGACAGTGTCTTGAATTGTGCTTCTTGCGGATCAAGTCAGCCTGATATAAATAATATTAATAATATTGGATGGCTTGTTTTCGGTGGATACAAGAATATATTGCACTCGCTATGACAATATTGCACTCGTCTTCGACTCGTGCAATATTGTCATAGCTCGTGCAATATATTCTTATATCCGCCTCAAAGCCATCCAATATTTTATAATTATTGATTACTAATATCTCCCCTAGAAATGGCAAAATGTTAAAGATGCATTCCCCATGCTATTTAGAGTTTCACCCTGAAAAATAGATATGTTTTTCCATTGCGATTTTCCTAGGAGTGTAGGAATATAAACGTTATTCACTTTTGAATGAGATATCAAATGAAAATATCCACCAACATTTAGTTATTGAATTATTTCTTTACAAAATTGGAATTATAGCAGCCCGGAAATAATCCGGATCTACCAGGGCGGGTTGATTTGTGAAATGAAAGCCCTTTTTTTTCAGAAGGTTGAAGATGCCGAAAAGTTGTTTTTTTCGTTAAAACAAAATATACAAATTGAAACTTTGGTAAAAGCAAACTCAATTTTTTGGAAGAGCACATACAGGGCACCTATCTTTTTACTGCTTCCTTCATGTGCATCACTTTGTTCTTTATCATGAGCGCCCACTTTGTTCCACTGCTGCTTCAAGAACTGCAGTAAACAGTGTAGCATTCGCCACTTCGTTTGCCTTGTTTGCCTTTCCAAATAAACCAAAATCCCTACCATGTGCATCACTTTGATCTTTATCATGAGCGCCAACTTTGTTCCACTGTTGCTTCAAGAACTGCAGTAAACAGTGTAGCATTTGCCACTTCGTTTGCCTTGTTTGCCTTTCCAAATAAACCAAAATCCCTACCATGTGCATCACTTTGTTCTTTATCATGAGCGCCCACTTTGTTCCAATGCTGCTTCAAGAACTGCAGTGAACAGTGTAGCATTGGCCACTTCATCCACCTTGTCTGCCCTTCCAAATAAACCAAAATCCCTACCATGTGCACTTACTTTGTTCCACTAAGGCTTCCAGTACCGTGGTCAGGGGTTCATACAGCGTCTTATCCACCACCAGGTCAACCTTCTTGCCGAGTGCTTGTAGCATCATCGCTATGGCAATAGCACCAGGCGGCCCGTCATCCTCATAGGGGTTCTTGTTATTCACAAAGCAAGGGAAACCAGTTGTCAAGGCAACCGATGAAGCATGGGACAGGGCCAGGACGGACTTCAGGAGATCGTCGGGGACAAGAAGATTGCCAATTTGCCTCTTACCTGTAAATTACGAAGTATGTTATTGGAAGGAAGTTGCATGTACATTTTTGATTAAATGATTGGAACTATGGCTCAAAACAAGTTATTTTTATACAATGGTCAAGGGGGCCATCTGAAGATGAAGGGATGGAAAGGTCTATATGAAGGGGAACACACAGTGTTATGGGAGTGATCATGCTCAAAATAATGTGGCCTACCGTATTCTGTCAAAATCAGATTTTTTTGGGCATAAGGTCAAAAATGAGATTTTTGTATATTGTTAAAATATGTTCTTTTTCCTTTAAATAGGTGGTTTAATTTTAAAACCGGTCATTCCTGGACACAGTTATGCTATTTTGAAGGTCACTGTGTCGAAAAGTAGAAAACGGAGCAAATGGCCACGAATGTCACAAAACAGTACTTTCTTTGACTGATATATACTTTAACAAATCACCAAAAATACTATATTTAGAGTTCAAATTAGGGTTTCAAACTGTTACAGTATATTTTAAACATGTTCAGGATTACAATATGCAAAAATTTGAAAAACAAAAAAAATCACCCCACAGCGTTTTTTTGCTGTATCTCAATTTCAACCTCTGCCCAGAAGTGTCTGTTTTTGACAGAACAGGTCACAAAAGAGCATGCATGTTCATTTACAAGGTTGGAACAATAATGGACTCCGTGCACACTGCACAAGGATCAACGGTTACAAAAGGAGAGTTGGGGGAGACCACATCCTTGGCACATGGTAAGAACTGACTCGAATGTAATCAATGCAATATTTGTTGCGTTACATGCATTTCTTAAACAATGAGTTGTTCATGTATGAATATTTGCTGACATTCTATGAATGAACACTTCAACAGCGACTCAGCCAAACCAAAATGTGGATGGCCTTGTGACTTCATTACTCGACATGTGTATCATCTGCTCAATTCGCCTCATGGCTGGGTTGATAGGGCTGTGTTTGCTCATTCCAACTTGGACTTGCTCAAATAGTCCATTTTGAAATGCACTCATTAACTTAAACATGCATCAACCTCAACTAGCCGACAATGGACTGGCATGAACCTGCGTTTTTTCAAAACTGACAAAGAGCTTATTCAAAAAAATATAAAGAACAGTGATATTTGACCAATTTCGAACAAGTAATTTGAGCTAATGTTTCTTCTGGAGCTCTCAAATCATGCTTGAAAATGGCTTTCAAGGAAATGTGTGGCATTCGACAAGTAATAAAATGTGACCCGCTCTGCAAAAATGAGTCTGTTGTTGCAAATATCACGTTTTGAATTAACTATAATTGGAATGAAATCAGCTTTTGTTAGGTATATCATGGAACTTCCTAGGATATTTGGTTGCATTGTTGTGCTTGTTTCATTCTGTCCATTTTTTACAAAGCTAGAAACGTCTCAATGGAGAAAAAAAGGATTTGAAAAATGACAGATATTCTGTAACTAACCAAGAAAAGCACCAAAACTCCTAATTTTGTTAGTTTTTTTTTACAATATTGACATTTCTTTGTAAGTCAATTCAACTAAAACTATCAAACAATCAAAATAAAACACGGATAACATTTTTAGGGTCGCAGCCTAAAAATAGGGTCGGTCAGGTAACCGGAAGCAGAAGTCTTATTTTTTTGGCCTTACCCACCTAAGTCCTCGGCAATGAAGCCCTCCAGCTGCTTGATTTTTTTCACGACAGCCTCGGATGTTACACTGGCCCAGTAAGGCTTCTCGCAGAGTGTGACTACTTTAACGTCAGCTGGGGAGTCATCTTGGCTCTGAAAAGGTGCGTCTGCAATGTACATGTTCCCTGGGAAATGGCTGAATGCTAGAGAAGGCTCTGCATATTAGCAAAGAGAAACGGAAATTACACAATAACATGTACTTACCGAACATACTAACATTCCACACGCACCAAACTTGCGCATGGAGAAGTGTTGACCCTTAGGTAATGTCAAACAAACCCAATAAGAGCTAAAAAGAAATTAATTGTCACCAGCATCTTTGGATAGGATGCTGGGTATGAGCAATTGATGTAAAATATAGGCACACCACCATGAACTTACCAACTTCCTAATAGTGATAGCCTTTTTGCTATCTTAAAAGGCTTATAGAGCACCACATAGCGACACCCTAGAATCCTTCCATTGGTTTTCATGTACAAACACATATGTACCTCATATAAGACAATAAATTCACAGTTTCGAACCTAACAAAAAGGTGGCTTGATAGGAGTTGGTAGCTGGATCTGTTAAAAGTGGATTCAAGACAGGCTTCAGACTTTTGTTTGTTTTTTTTCATTTTGCCAAAAGTAGGAGTTTTCTTCCTTTATTTGTTTTGAATTGAATCCTGCTATTTTTGTCAAAATTTATCAATTTTCCTTTCTGATTTGTGGCTCTAAAAGATTTTTTTTAAAAGGAAAGAAAGTCAGGAATTCTATTACATCTATTTCCTGCCACCCCCCCCCCCAATACTAATTCACAACAATAATGTAAGTGTGGAGCCAGCCTATAGAAAAATGGCAACACAGCAACCAATAATATGTGCAGTCCATGTATTTACCATGGAAGGGCAATATTTTCAGCAATGCAGCATGGGAAAAATTTAACATCTGCGAATACATGTATTTATCTCACAAGGTCCTGCAGTGTTTAGAATTTTTTGACCAACACATTTGGAGATGAAACACTTGTGTCTGAATAACAAAACAAAGTTTCCATATGTTGCTATATATACCAAACATAAACTGATAAACCGCAGGACAATGCAGACCGTGAAATGTAAACGTAGCCTAGACAGGCAAACCCTTGGAGGTGGAATGTATTGTGAATTGCTCCTATTTAAGTAGGAGTGTCTTTTGCAACACTTGTCAGCACAACTCACTCAAATTGTTAAAGCTATAGTCCATCATTTGCAGCCATCCGAAAAAGTAACTGGCGTAATTGTTGTTGAAAAACCTACTTGGTTGAAAGATAGTGAGGGGACTAAACTCCCTGTGAAATTATTCTTTCTGGCAAGCTGTCATTTTGAAGTAATCAACGAAAGAAGGCCTTTCCAACGGTGCTTCTTAAGACGCACCGTAGGAAATTTAAATTAGTAGTTCGTTTTGTTATTCAGCAAAGCGCGCAAGCATTGGCATGATGCACACGCACACGCGGTTGCTGTAATTCGTCGGATCATTGAGCAACATCGCGTAGCTGCAATCGGCTCAGTGAGAACGTGTCTCCGACGCTGAATTCAGGCCCAATTCAAAACATGATTCAGTAACTTTTGATTTGAAATTGAGATCCTAGAATGCTGTTTTTCTCGTTTAACAGCTGAGCTGAAACTTCATCAGGTTAGTTGTTCAGTACCCTTCTTTAGATTTTGAGCACTTTTGTTGCTTCAAACGAACAAAATGCACAAATTACAAACGATGGACTATATCTTTAACCCTTAACTTTGACTTTTTCGGAATACATGTAAATACACCATAATTAACTCACTGGCTGTCACTGGTACCATTTGTATTGCTCTAAATCATCAGTTTTTTCCAACTTTCGGAAAAAAATTGTCAATTTATAGAAGAGGAACAAGGAGCCCTTGGCCACTCAAAACTACGAAAAACCATAAACGATTTTGACATGATTTGCATATATTTGACCAGGAGCACTGATTCATTAAAACAAGGTTTCTGAGAGCATTCCTTTTGCTTCAGTACCATGTACCGGCAGGTCACATTTTGTCAATGCACAGGCATGGCGTCTTACTTTAAGTGTTATACCATTTTTTTTAAAAGCAGTTATCACTCACTTGCAGCCTTGACAGCTTCCACTACAGTAACGCCACAGGCCCAGAAGACAGGGATGTCTCCTTCCTCAAAAACCGTAGGATCCAGGTAGTCAGGCTTGTTTACGTCTGGTACCCCAATCAGCGCTACAGTGTATGAAAAGTTTGAGCACTTTCACTTCACAGTGGAAACAACTTTATAATGGACATCATTAAAATGGAGACACTCGGATGACAGCTGTCAAACTCAAATTGTCTTCCTTTACTCATCAAACTGATGAAGCCATAATATGCTTCCTCAGAATAGACCATTCCTGATACGGCCATACGCCCCACCCCCTTTGGTTTGTGTGCGTGTCTTACAATCACCGCCTTCGATTACTGCCCTCCCGCTCACCCCGTACTTTTGTCTTGGGTATAGATGCACATGCGCAATCTGTAGCAATAAACTAATCATCTTGGGTTACTCGAGGTCAAGCCATACCAAATAGACTGGATCGAGATGTCATTTGCAAATGGATTCGAGCCGGTGAAACAAGCCATGGTGGCCACAACGTGCTCTTCCGATGTGAACAATAAATGCCGGGTATGTTAAAAATTAACTTAACTTTCCTCCCGTCAAGTACTAGTGTGAAGTAAAGCTGCATGGGACACTTTTGATTCCCCGCTGCCACAGCGTTAGACTTAGCCGCCATGTTAGACTTAGCTGCCATGTTTTCGCATTGCACTGTGGGAGACTTAACCAAGTAACCGGCTCATCAGTGAGTCGGTTACTTGGGCCCAGCTCGAGTAAGCGCGAGAAGTCACGTGAGAGCTACATCGAACGCAGTCGGGCTTGCATGAGTAAGCACAAGGGAAGTAATCGAACGCGCTTGATGCCAAGAGCTGAATTTGACTATGCTTTATCCATAGAGCTATATTAAATTCATAGAGCTCTAACTCATGTACAAAGTGATGCCTGCTGGGTGCATCCATGTTTGTACACAAACCTATGGAGAACTAGAAAGTTTGTACGTCTAGTTGCATATCTGCATTTGTATTCCATACTGGTGCGTCATCGAAGCCAATACGCCCAAACCAAAACGCCTGATCAGCAAATGAGCGTTTCATTTTGCTCTACTCAAACAGTGCAACGTCTGTGCGTCCCTCCGCTGCAGATGCTTTTCGCCGTGATGTTTTTTTTAGCCGTCATGACGTGCTTAAGTTGTTTGCGTATCTTCTACTTGCGCGTTACATTTAGAGTATACATTTAAAATTTAATCCATCTATTTTGATTGTGTTAAAAACACGCACATAAATTCAAAATGTCTGCTCCCAGGGCGGCTTCAAAGCTTCTCCACGCGCAAGAATGAAGAGTTAGCGCTCTAGTAATTTAATATAGCTCTATGGCTATATCTTACATGTATGGTCACCTGGTCAAAAGTTGTGATCTTATTGGTCAATGCGTACTGTTTAATTGACAGGCAGGAAGGGGCCATTGAAAAGAGAAAAGGGCCTGCATGTTTACTATCAGTATCACCGTAGATGTCTTAAAGTCTCCTGTCAATTACAGTGGGTGATGTGGGTCATGGGTGTTAATCGCTGTCAATAGATCATAGGGTTGCAACCAAGCCCTCACATGTAAATCAAAAGTCCTTCAGTATCAAGGCAAGTCACGTCATTCAAAAGGCATTCCAGTGTCATTGTTTATCTCCTGTTACCCGCGACGTAGCTCATTTGCGACTGATTTGTGCAGAACTTGCGATTTGACTTGCGAAGCGCTGAACTTCAACTCTGCAAGGACTTAAGTTTTTACTGGGTGCGTCTACCCTAACCCTCCCGGTAATTTTGTCTAGAAACCCCGTCTGATGCAACAATTAACATGCAAAATCCCAAGGCCAAATTCAGTCTGTAATTGCCAACCACTGACAGGGTTAAATCCTCACATGAAATTTCATGACTTTCCATGAAATTCCAGGACAACAAATAGGACTTCCTGGACTTGCAGGGAGTTGTAATGGACTCGACTACGTCCCTGCATGACGCACATGTAATAAACGCAAGTTTATAACAGGTTGGTTTTTGGGAGTTCTAAGGAGGTGAAAAAAGCTTTGCATTTTCTGAATGGCCTTGAGATTAAAACAATCCCATTCCTAGGACTGGCAACATCCAAAGAACAATTCTGATTATTATGTCCCACAGACTTTTATACTTGTTTCACTGTTTTGCATCTGGCAAAGTTAGGGTTGATAAACTATTCATAAATAATTTGCATCTGGGTGATGTAAATCAATATTATGTTTTACCCTTCACCGAAGTATAAACACTGTGTACTCAGTGTGTTACCTCCCGAGTGAAAGTTTGAAAAAAAATCACCCAAACTTTCACTCGGGAGGTAACACACCGAGCAGTGATGTAGTGCCTTGATGCTGGGGCTTGGCCTTAAGGCTGCCTTAAGGCTGGATTTTAGGGCCTTGGCCTTGGCCTCGAGGCTTGAGGGCAAAAGCCTTGGCCTTGGCCTTGGCCTTGAGGGTTCAGGGACTTGCAATTTTGAGTCAAGGCTCTTCAAGGCCCATAGATTTTTGCATTTTCCAGATAAATCTGTTCGAAATTTTGCTGTTACCATTTTAATCGTATTACCATGGAGGAGGGAAGCACCCTATAGATTTGTGTGTTGGGCACACTTCCACTTTTGTAGCATCACATTTTGTTACCATTGTAGTAGATTTGCTGCAAAAATATTCCGTACACTTGTGGGGCTAATGAGATGATCACTTTAATGGCATATAACTATGGAATGGATCTGATTGGTTGTATATGGGTAATTCCACAAAGTTGGGTACAGAATGTGTGACATGAGGGTGAGTTTTTCAAAATAATGTGAAGAGCACTAAAATAACTTTTTTAGGTGCTGACATATATGTAGTGTCTAAAATAATAAACCATTTTGAGACATCTTGTCAAACGTTTTATTTTTAACAGTGTTGTTTATTAACAGATGCAAAGCAAGTTTCACATGTAACATGGACACCAAACATGAGGAATCACCTTTCCCATTGTTATTTTATAGAATTGATATGCTCCAAGTATAGAATGTATTTAAAAGGGCTTGATAAGTACATTAATTAAATTCATACATTTTTTGGCTAATCGTTATGAGATTATTGAAATCAGCTGTTGTTCACTCACATGAAATGGGCAAATTATATAAATTTGGCCCTTCATACATATTTTTTCTTGTATTGTCTGTTCCAAAAATGTTTGTCTACACCAAACGTGTAAAACACAAGGAAGCAAACCCACACGTTCAACTTATTTTGCCATGTTACCATTTCTTTTACACAAGACAGTATCCATGCAAAATAATTTTGTGGTTTCACATGTAACAATGACACCAAAATATTGGTGTCCTGTTACACGTGAAACTGATATATGGATTATAAGGTAATAAGCTTTAAACTTGATAAAAAATGAGTAAAACTTCATTTATATTAGTTAAAAATGAACAAATTTGAAACATCAGCTGAAGATGTGAGTGTGTTTAGCTTTGAGACTCCCATATTGGACAGGGTTGGGTTTCACATGTAACATGGATGCCAAATTATTGAACGTTCTGATTACATCTCAAGATGTGATGCCTAAACCATTTTGCCGTCCCCATCCTTCCCGTATCCCGTCCCTCCCCTCCCCTACCCCACCCCACCCTCCCCCACTCCATTCCCACCCTTCTAGTACCCATAACATATTGGACAGGGTTGGGTTTCACATGTAACATGGATGCCAAATTATCGAAAGTTCCGATTACATCTCAAGATGTGATGCCTAAACTATTTTGCGGTCCCCATCCTTCCCGTATCCCGTCCCTACCCTCCTCTACCCCACCCCACCCTCCCCCACTCCATTCCCATCCTTCTAGTACCCATTACATAACAGTGTTGTAGTCGAGTCCATCACAAGTCCCTGCAAGTCCATCATAAGTCCATCACAAACAATTCAGTCTTAATCAGGTAATAAACTTTAAACTTGTTAAAAAAATGAGTAAAACTTCATTTACCGGTATATTAATTAAAAATGAACAAATTTGAAACATCCGCTAAAGACGTGAGAGAGTTTAGCTTCGAGACTCCCATTATTGGACAGGGTTGGGTTTCACATGTAACATGGATGCCAAATTATCGAACGTTCTGATTACATCTCAAGATGTGATGCCTAAACCATTTTGCCGTCCCCATCCTTCCCGTATCCCGTCCCTACCCTCCCCTACCCCACCCCCCCCCCTCCCCACTCTACCCTCCCCTTCCCCACTCCATTCCCACCCTCTAGTACCCATTACATAACAGTGTTGTTGGATGCATTGTTCCTTGGATTAACCATTCCCAAATGGATGAATTTACTGAACATGCTGAAGCCTAAATCAATGCAAATTATGAATTTATTTCTTAGGGGAAGATTTTTTTTTAGTTTTGTACTATTCATTCTTATGTGTTTTGTTTCTTTTGTTTGAAAAAAATGTTGAAATATCTTAATTCAAACCAGAAAAAGAAAATCACATGATGCTCCACCCCCATTATGAGAATGGAATGGTCTGGCGGTATCCTGGCCTGTGACCAATCAATGTTGACACTTCCCCTCTTATTTTAGACTAACTTCAGTAAAAATCACCAACTTTCGAACCCCCTTCAAACAGATAAATGAAAAGGACCCCATTTTTAATAGATCAGACGTTGACCATCCAACGCAGGCAAAAGCACAGGCCAAAACACAAAATCGTACCACACCGTCGCATGGAAACCACGTCGTGATATTTCCATTACGATGTGCAATTTCAGTTAGGGTTTCGGGACACATATTTAGCGTCATTTGTGAAAGCTTAGCCTCTTCTAGTCCGAGTAACTTGGACCCAACTTATCGCCTTTTTTAACATTTTGGACATGGTCTGGCGATAGTGGGGTCCAAGCTAATACCGCGACCTGGACAACATCATCCTGTCACTGTCCCAAACCAACATTTTCCAACAAAAAACATCAGATTTCACCTTCAAAACGGCCTCCAAATTACTAGATATGCCACCTGAAGTACAAGTAGACATCGATGATTAAGATGGTTGTACTTAAGTTTACTTACGATCCGGAAGAAAAGTGAAATTTTCCGTTCATTTCGGAGAGCTC